TAAGTAATGAATGTATAAGCAAATATTGTTATAACACACATTGCTATTGATGACAAACTTAATAAACCCCGACAGAGCTTCATGTAAGTTTTTCGGGAATATAAATGTGTGTTATATAGGATCATAACAATATTTGTTAAAATATTCATTATCTACGTTTTATTTAGTCATTTCGAACAGTTCTTTGAACTAGAAACTAAGTGTCGACAACTATGAAATAGATGACGCCACAATAGAGATCGATGACGTGATAACAGCAAATGTTGTTATAGTCTCATAACATTTGCCTTCTCAATGCATTGCAGATGCAGGGCAAATGTAGATATACAGTATTAAACTTGACCATTGGAACAAGATCTGTTAAGATTCTCAAGTGGATGCACAACACAGCACGCGCTGCCAAGTGTTTGGTGCAAGTCGTGTGTCCAAGCTAAGTACAGAATTACTCAACCTCGCACAATATCAAGTACTTACACCATAACCATGCTTGTTTATTCCCCTCTTATCAACAAACTGCAAAACACCGCGTCGTAAAGGGTAGAGGTCATTTAGATGTTGCTGATAACATTGCCAAAGGGCTCGAATAGGCTCGCCTGTTCATTACTTATGTTACCCGATATGTTCAATACGATTATGCGTATTTGGCTTCGGTTTGTTCGGGGGNGCGTCGTAATAAAAGCTTATGTTTGCTGTTGACAATATACACGACGATAAATAAAGATTATTTATTCATTCATTGTCGGTTTGTGGCCAATCTAGCAACAGTACCAAGTATCAATCCTACACGACAAACCACATCCTGTTTGCATAAAAACTGGTGAGTTTCTGGTTTAACATAAGTAACACCGAGTATGAGTATATAGCGGCCCAATGTAACCGAGTGCATCCCGTTCTATTTCGTTGTTTAGTTGTCCATATTGCTATCTTGCTACCCAGTTTTGTGGAGAAATGATTTTCATTTATTCAGTGGAAGTGATACTGTTGCCAGATTTAGACCTCAATATCCTCGTTCTGGACTAACTGAATTGGATGAATTTTAATGAACGACAACAGCTACAATACGTACACAGGTAAAGAAGTAATTGTTTATTAAGAAAATAGCATGAACTGATGAGAATGTAATCTACATTCTGTTTTGAATACACACCCATCATTACATAACTGTACTTTGAACATGTCGTAACATAAATGTCGAACACAAAAACTCCAAAACAATCAATGGATTCTTAAGAAAAACGAATAAACAAAAACAGACATTTTGTTAAAAAAATTGCAACAACTTGAAACGAGGCTTCAATAATAGATCAAGGAACGCTTATTTAAGAAAATATTAGAACGTTAACATCTTTCTCGCATAACTAACATATTTGTTAATAGACGAATTTGTCAAATGAGACGAGGGTTGCCTTAAAATGAACCAATCAGCAGGCACCAAGCTGTCACCAATACAGGTGACGACGTTCTACCGTTACATCACCTGATTGCCCAGCTGCATTTGGTAGCACATATACGCTATCTTCAAAACAATAAGAAACTTATAGTTGGTTCAAAATTGTCGAATAACTTTTATTGAAATTAGGTGTGGAGTAATTGTGAAATATGCGTTAGGATGCCCATACCCCTGCCCAAAATTGTTTCAAAATATTTGAAACAGGTTTTTTTTCGACATAAATACAGCTTTTGATAAATCTTTTCTAAAACGGAAACCGTACCTAGCGGGAATACTTATGGGAAATAATAGATATGAAATAAACGAAACCTAAATCAACTGTAGAAAAAAAACACGATGCAGTAGGGCAGGGATCCTTAATGTCTCCAATCTAATACCTGGACTTGCTAAACAATTTAACAAAAATTTATTAATTAATGAAATTAGATTTGCATCTTAAATTTATAGGCTAAAATGGAATAAAACGAAGATGATTTTGAATTTCAAAGCAGACACTATATTGGAGCTAAAACGTCCACAGCGCGCTCATGACATATGTACATTGTAGTATTGATAATGAGTAATCATAATGTTGAAATAATTTTAAATCGCAACAAGCTGGTTTAATATCATATTAGCACAACAATAGCAATTGTATGTTAAAATCACAATGACCTCAATGAAGTCAGCAAATACGTGATATTTTTTCCTTTAGTCGTTTTAAATGAGAATCATCAGTAAAACGACCATGGAAATAATCAAACCTGAATAAGCATTCCACCTGTTCATATCATAATTAAGACGGCCACCAGTTCATATAGCCGTAGATACCATCTGACCACCGGTCAAGACTTCAACGTAACTGTATTGACGTCAGGTCTCCTGCATTTCATGCGAGGTCACAATACCATGAAAAGACGGCAAGTACTTAGTTCTGACGTCATAATGAATGGTTCAGGTTCCAAAAATATAACCTAGGTATATTTACTGCATAACATTGTAGCCGTTTGATTAATAAATGTACTAGCACACCAACTTACGTTTTCATCTCTACAAAATGTACTTGTCTCTTGCTTTTTCCAATCATACAACATAACTCACAAATAATACACGATAGCAATCAGCGTACTCGCTCAGAACATGTGTCTCAACCTTTTGCTGAAAACGTTGCTACAATCTTCCGCGGGCGGGATCGGTTGGTTCGTGAAAACAGAAAAGTTGAAAAATTACTCAATATACTAATATGTCAATTACAGTATCACTGTATTCATGACTATACACAGCACAAGTTAAATGTAGATCTAACATGGATAGTAACAGACCTAATGTTAGCAAAATTAAGAAAATGATAAACTTTAACAAAATCTGCGATAAACAACCAGACTTTTTTTTTCTAAATATATGAAACAAAAACGGGAAAAGAACTTTCACAGGCATTACATTCAGATACAATATCAGTTAGTTCAAGAACATAATAAAACAAGATCGGAGTGTATATTTCATTTAATTGCGTATCTCTACTGAACATCTTAACCCACTACTGTGTACCTCGACTGTATATGTTAACCCACTGTGTACCTATACTGTACATGTTAACCCAATGTGTACCTCTACTGTACACGTTAACCCACTGTGTACCTCTACTGTACAGACTAACTCACTGTGTACCTCTACTATACAGGTTAACCCGCTGTGTACCTCTACTGTACGTGTTAACCCAATGTGTACTTCTACTGTATATGTTAACCCTCTGTGTACCTCTACTGTACACGTTAACCCGCTGTGTACCTCTACTGTACAGACTAACTCACTGTGTACCTCTACTATACAGACTAACTCACTGTGTACCTCTACTATACACGTTAACCCACTGTGTACCTCTACTGTACACATTAACCCGCTGTGTACCTCTACTGTACATGTTAACCCACTACTAAATACCTCTACTGTACACATTAACCCACTGTGTACCTCTACTGTACACGTTTACCCATTGTGTACCTCTACTATACACGTAAACACTCTGTGTACCTCTTCTATACACATTAACCCACTGTGTACCTCTACTTTACACGATAACCCACTGTGTACCCATGTTTACCCATTGTGTACCTCTACTATACACGTTAACACACTGTGTACCTCTACTATACACATTAACCCACGGTGTACCTCTACTGTACACGATAACCCACTGTGTACCTCTAATGTACACGATAACCCAATGTGTACCTCTACTGTACACGATAACCCACTGTGTACCTCTACTGTACACGATAACCCACTGTGTACCTCTACTATACACGATAACCCACTGTGTACCTCTACTGTACACGATAACCCACTGTGTACCTCTACTATACACATTAACCCGCTGTGTACCTCTACTGTATATGTTTACCCACTGTGTACCTCTACTATACACGTTCACCCACTGTGTACCTATACTATACACATTAACCCGCTGTGTACCTCTACTATACACATTAACCCGCTGTGTACCTCTACTATACACATTAACCCGCTGTGTACCTCTACTGTACACGTTAACCCACTGTGTACCTCTACTGTATATGTTTACCCACTGTGTACCTCTACTATACACATTAACCCACTGTGTACCTCTACTGTACACGATAACCCACTGTGTACCCACGTTTACCCATTGTGTACCTCTACTATACACGTTAACACACTGTGTACCTCTACTATACACATTAACCCACGGTGTACCTCTACTGTACACGATAACCCACTGTGTACCTCTACTGTACACGATAACCCACTGTGTACCTCTACTGTACACGATAACCCACTGTGTACCTCTACTATACACATTAACCCGCTGTGTACCTCTACTGTACATGTTAACCCACTGTGTACCTCTACTGTACATGTTAACCCAATGTGTACATCTACTGTACATGTAAATCCACTACTTTTCTGTATTGTACATACTCATCTGTCTTGTTTTACATGATATATCTCATCATAATGAGGCTTGTTAATTTGTATGTCTATACCGACACAATATTTGAATACAAATAAACACATATGTATGTTACTAACTCATTTTGTGTACCGATGATATCGACTAAGAAAAATTCTTACATGGTATGTGCTGGACGAAATCAAAAAATATTGAATATTATTTATTTATTGCGCTTGCAACATAGTCAACTAAATGGTGAGAACTTAAAAACAATTAACAGAAAAATATGAACATTAAAGAGATGATTGTCTTTTGTTGATATGCGTGAAGAATTATCATCAGCCAGATGTTCGAGATGGATCACTCCAAGCACACCTACTATATAATATTTATCTCGTGGAATATGTAACCGAGAGCATCCGTGTTTTCGTAGAAAAAAAACTGCGCAAAAATGCATGAATTAATCACCCATACAATGTAGTGAACAGCGTTACTCTGCTCTGCCTAGATCTGTTGCTGACTTGACACTCGCAAGTACTTGATATTATCTATAGAAAACAGACTGTAATAACTAATACCCTAGTCAATGACATAAGTCGGCTCTTTCCGTAACTCAAACTTGACTTGGCACAATTCAGTATCTCCAATCAGAAGACATTCTATTGTATGACATAACTCTGTTCTACTTGGAATTGGAGCTGGCTCAGCAAATGCACGGCTGCCTCTTGTTCCAGTGTAATAGTGGCTGGAGCCTCTATCACGCACGTGTCATTGGTAGCTGCCTGCACGGCTGCCACAGTTTCCTCGTGAGCTACAGCCTCCACAGCTATCATGTCAGCCTCTGCAACGCTCACCTCATCCTTGTGCATCTTGGCCATGTGAATATCGACCCCTGTCTTGTAAAGGAAGCCACGGTTGCAGAAATGACAGTAATATCTTATCTTCTCGAAGTTACCCAGCTGCCGTTTGTCGTTGTGTTCAACGTCCAGATGATTTCGCAACGACCAAAGCTTACCGTACGTATTCCCACAGATTTTGCACACGAATCGTTTTTCAACTTTTGTGTTTTCGTTGCCCGGATGATTCTTTGTAATGTGATCAATCAGAGTTTTCTGAAACACAAACTTTTCTGGACAAAATTCGCATCGCCAGGGCTTAAATTCCGGATGTATATCAACATGCCTTCTGTACAATGAGCGGCTACTAAATGTTTCCCCGCAGTATTTACAGGGATAGAAGTTCCGGCCAGCATGATGAACATCAATGTGGTGGGTCAACTGATAAGGCTTAGAATACACCTTGTTGCAATACTGGCACTGGCGATTTTTCAATTGCCTTTTTACCTTGTTGGGGTTATGCACCAGTTTCAAGTGCATGGTCAAAGAAAAGTTACTGGCAAGTTCTTTCCCACAGAGATGACAGACAACCTCCTTTTTCCTCGTAGTGGAATGCACCGACTCAATATGCCTTTTCATACCCTCCTCTGAAGCGACCATCTTTTGACAAATTCGACATTTGAAAGGATCAGGATTTTCATGCATTCGCAAGTGATCTCGTAGACGGTGGGGTCGTTTGAACACTTTGCCGCAGATATGGCAGACCATCTCCTTATTCTTCTTGTGTCCCTCCATGTGCATTCGCAGACCCTGTTCAGTGACACAAGTTTTTGTGCACATTGTGCATCTGTACGCTTCTATCATCGTGGTGCAGTGTGTGACCAAGTGCATTTCTACCTTTTTCCTCTCCTTGATGATTTTGTTGCATATTGGACAGACATAGGGTGTATCAAGTAGTGCCCTCTTAGGATAATGGCCTTTGACATGAAGATTAAGTTTGTCTGCAGACATCAAAACATCATTGCATATGTTGCATCTGAAGTTGTCTTTAATATGATTAATACAGTGGTGGAGGAAATCATTTCTGCACGTAAATACTCGGTTACAAGACGTGCACAAATAGTTCCCGTAGTTAGATGCTTTGTGCGTTTCCTCCATGTGGTAAAGAAGATAGCTATAGGAGATGAAAGACATGCTGCACACTGGACATCTATAGTTTCTGATTTTATGCGCTAGCCTCATGTGCTTCATCAATGCTGCATCGGTCTTCATTGGCTTACAACATAATTCACAGCATTTCAACTCTTGAAGTTGTCTCTTCCAAACATTCATATCCTCAGTGGAAGGCAGGGCACACACTGTTTCATCATTCTCATTCACACTTTTATCTCCTTCACCTTCACGATTGCCTGCTCCCTCAGACAAAGTAGAACTTGTTCCTTCATCCTCATTATCTGAATGCTTTGTTCTCTCTTGGTCATATAGCAGTTTTGCTGAAAATTCCACTCCAATAGCTTTCATATGGGACAGAGCTTGGGGTGCCAGAAGGTTGTGGAAGGTTCCTATGTGATTGAGGATGAGATTAGCTTTGGTAAAACGCTCCCCACAAAGGGTACATTCCCATTTGCCAACTTGTTTTGGATGAGTGATGTGATGCATCTCCTGTATATTCTTGGAATTAGATGCTGCATGACAAACTTTGCAAGTATATCTGGGCTGATCTATTTCATTTGATAAATGGATTTTCGTCTTCTTTGTAGGTAAACCACTGCCAATACCAACTCTCTCCAGGAGCTTTGTGCGAAGCATAGACAGGTCATCCGCAGGTTTATTTGGCTCTTCACTACCAAAGATAGCCAGGTTTCCTGGCTGATTGTCTGCTAGAGAACATCCATGCATGGAGACCTCTACCTGGTACTTCTGCACGCTCTCGTTGTCCTCATCTTCCTTACACTCACCATCAATACCAATAGGAACAGATGGTTTTATTTCCTGGAAAGAAAAGGAAACTTTCTGTTTTAACAAAGAGGTGTCAACCTTCTTGATCTCTTGCAAACGGCCTTTACTATCAAGCAGGTAGGTTATGGGGTATCGACCATACAAGTACAGAATGATCAGTTTTGGATTAGCATCTTTCTTTATGATGATAAGCGGTATCTGTTTTGCAGTTATCCCTGGGTGATCTTTGGCAATGTGGAATTCAGCTGACTTGTTCACATAGTCCCTACCACACAGCACACAGAGGAAGGGTCGATGGAGCCGGTACTGATCTTGCAGATCTTCATTCTCTTTGCCTTTCTCTGGCATTGTCTGGCAGACGTGGAAACGTGACCACAGGTCTCTCAGATCATGCATTAACCTAAAGTGCTGCAGTGCTCGTTTCCGGCAAGTTGTAACATGATTACACCTTAAACAGGCCCATGGTTTTGACTGAATTCTTGGTGTCTCTGGTGAGGGTTCATTTGGGTCAATTTTTTGGAATGTAGTCAAAATTTTTTCAGACACTTCTTTATTTCCAGGATGATCAAGGGAAAATACGTCAATGTGGGATGGAACAAAATCCTTGTTTTGTTTATTTTGGGCTGCAGTCTTCTTTGGAGTGGAATAGCCTGCAAAAGAGGAATATGATTTGTCTTTGTCAGGTCCTATGCCCTTCCTGGTCCTGAGATTTAGTCGTAATGCAGATCTTGTGCTTTTACGACGCGATTTTGGTTGAGCAGACTCAGCAATCAGGTCAACTTCTGTGTCAGAGCTAGGCTCCACGTTTTTTACCTTTGCCTCCCGTTTCCTCCTGCCAACTCTGACAGCCACAGGTTTAGGTTGGACAACATTTTCTCCTGAAGACCTTGGTGATGAAGCCGCCTTCACAGGAACAGCTTTCTTCCTCCTGGACGTTGATTGAACCAGTGGTACAAAGGGAGCAAACTCTGTGGAAAGATAACCGTTTTGTAAACATATGTAAAGCTTTATTTTGTGGCTGATTTTTACAGAGAAATATGCATGTATACAACATCATAATGTACCTATTCAAGGTGGATTACAAGGAAAGATATAAATCGCTTTATAGTTTTCCTATTGAACATTAATTCATTGTTAATGCTATCCTTTTTTAAATTAGCTCCAAAGCAGATATGATATTAATCAAATAAAATTAATAACTGATTAACACTTTTTGTCAATTATTTTAGGTTTCTCAATATCTTGAATCAATCAATGGGAAAATGACAATCACTGTAATTAAACTCTACGTACAGCGTTGTTGTAACACTTAATAACTGTAATTAAACTCTACGTGCAGCGTTGTTGTAACCCTTGGGAACTGTAATTAAACTCTACGTACAGCGCTGTTGTAACACTTGATAACTGTAATTAAACTCGACGTACAGGGTTGTTGTGACCCTTGATAACTGTAATTAAACACTACGTACAGCGTTGTTGTAACACTTAATAACTGTAATTAAACTCTACGTACAGAGTTGTTGTAACCCTTGATAACTGTAATGAAACTCTACGTACAGTGTTGTTGTAACCCTTGATAACTGAAATTAAACTCTACGTACAGCGTTGTTGTATCCCTTGATAACTGTAATTAAACTCGACGTCCAGTGTTGTTGTAACCCTTGATAACTGTAATGAAACTCTACGTACAGTGTTGTTGTAACCCTTGATAACTGTAATTCAACTCTACGTACAGTGTTGTTGTAACACTTGATAACTGTAATTAAACTCTATGTACAGCGTTGTTGTAACCCTTGGTAACCGTAATTAAACTCTACGTACAGCGGTGTTGTAACACTTGATAACTGTAATTCAACTCTACGTACAGCGTTGTTGTAACCCTTGGTAACTGTAATTAAACTCTACGTACAGCGTTTGTGTAACCCTTGATAACTGTAATTAAACTCTACGTACAGCGTTGTTGTAACCCTTGGTAACTGTAATTAAACTCTACGTACAGCGTTGGTATAACCCTTGATAACTGTAATTAAACTCTACGTACAGAGTTGTTGTAACCCTTGATAACTGAAATTAAACTCTACGTACAGCGTTGTTGTAACACTTGATAACTGTAATTAAACTCTACGTACAGCGTTGTTGTAACCCTTGATAACTGTAATGAAACTCTACGTACAGTGTTGTTGTAACACTTGATAACTGTAATTAAACTCTACGTACAGCGTTGTTGTACCCCTTGATAACTGTAATTAAACTCTACGTACAGTGTTGTTGTAACCCTTGATAACTGTAATTAAAATCTATGTACAGTGTTGTTGTAACCCTTGATAACTGTAATTAAAATCTATGTACAGTGTTGTTGTAACCCTTGATAACTGTAATTAAACTAAACGTACAGTGTTGTTGTAACCCTTGATAACTGTAATTAAACTCTACGTACAGCGTTGTTGTAACCCTTGATAACTGTAATTAAACTCAACGTACAGTGTTGTTGTAACCCTTGATAACTGTAATTAAACTCTATGTACAGTGTTGTTGCAACCCTTGATAACTGTAATTAAACTCTACGTACAGCGTTGTTGTAACCCTTGATAACTGTAATTAAACTCTACTTACAGCGTTGTTGTAACCCTTGATAACTGTAATTAAACTCTATGTACAGCGTTGTTGTAACCCTTGATAACTGTAATTAAACTCAACGTACAGTGTTGTTGTAACCCTTGATAACTGTAATTAAACTGTACGTACAGCGTTGTTGTAACCCTTGATATCTGTAATTAAACTCTACTTACAGCGTTGTTGTAACACTTGATAACTGTAATTAAACTCTACGTACAGCGTTGATGTAACCCTTGATAACTGTAATTAAACTCTATGTCCAGCGTTGTTGTAACCCTTGATAACTGTAATTAACCTCTACGTACAGCGTTGTTGTAACCCTTGATAACTGTAATCAAACTCTACGTACAGCGTTGTTGTAACCCTTGATAACTGTAATTAAACTCTACGTACAGCGTTGTTGTAACCCTTGACAGAACACTTTAAAGGACAAGACATATATCTATCTGTATATCAGAGAAAGTGGTATATAAGAACCTTGAATTATTATTATATTTACAAAACAAAGTTCATATTTTTTAACTTAACAAGAGGCCAGAAGCGCCTGTATTACTTGCATATTTCTTTTGTTATTTGAACCTGGATCTATGGGGTGCGACATACTTCCTCCATCAATTGAGTGGTCTCATAGATCAAGGATGCTTTGTAGCAACCTTAGTTGTAATTTGTATACATGTGTATATAGTTTGAGAGTTGGCAGATGTCAATAATTTCCGTGTCTTGACCTTGGAACTTGGCAAATGTCAATCACTTCTGTGTCTTGACCTTAGAACTAAGTCCCCAAGAATGAGATCAAATCACTGATATGACCCAGGGACAATGTCTTTGGAAGGTAAAATTACCTAATTTTGTCCCCTAGTGGAGAGTTAAAGCCTTCATATTTATATATCATATATAAGATTTGATAACCTTGTGCTACTAATGTTAATTAATGTGTATAGGGAGTTACCTGCAGTTCCATGCTCATCTGTTTTGTGATCCATCAGCTCTCTATCACCAGCACTGCAAAGTGATAAAATCTATAATTTCAAATAGGTATAGTATATTCAGCTTTCAGTATGTACTCAGAAATATCTGGGAAAAAAATGTGTGTATACTTTACATCTACAGATTTGCAGTTGTCTCTGAAGTGTATCTTTCATACAAAGCAGTGTACAGCTAGTTATTTGTTAGCATATATATAGTCTAGGAGGAGATAACGTTTAAAGGCATACTGTCAAATTTACCCCTTTTGGCCCTGCCCACCTGTCCCCTGGGGGGTCAGGGAATTCATTTGTACAATCTAGAATCCCCTTCCCCTAAGGATGCTTCCTGATAAATTTGGTTGAAATCTGCCCAGTGGTTTCAAAAGAACTATACCTTGCCCAAACACTTTACCCTGTGGAACTTTGCCCAAAAACTTTAACCAATTACAACAGACTTGTGTTTGGGACCAATAATGAGCAAATATGTCCAATTTGTTGCTAAGGAGCCTCCAAGCAATTGCTGTAACCATATTACAATGTAAAATCAATTAACAGTTGAGTTAAACACCAAAACACAGCTTGCCCAAAAAAATTAACTTAGTTGGACGGCGACACCGTGGGTACTGCTATAGCACTCCTATTCTTCGAATAGAAGAGCTAAAAATGAGATAAATGCCTACCTTTCTTTGCTTGAGTAGTTGTGGTCAATCTGAGTGGAGGGTTCTTTGTCTGTGATAGAAAAAAAAAACCATTTGATACAGTTTAAATATTATCATCAAACTTGATGTAGTGTACATAGTGCAGGAACACAAACTATACCATGTCTGGGGGGGAAAGGGGATTTATCACTGTCAGTATTAGTAATTTAAATATGTGCAGTATTCACACTGCTTATTTCATCATTTATGAGTACTTCTTTTAACTCATTCAACCCTGAAGACACATCTTAACTCTTCCAATTCAAATGTTGGAATAGTTAATTATGAAACTTCATTGGCGAGTGAGTTAAACAAGTTGTCAATATTAAAAAGATACAGCATCCAGGAATTTTATTTTGTGTTAGAAGCTACATGTAATGAAAAGTTGGTATTACAGTATTCATGGGGGATCCAATTTCTCTTTTTTCACAGCAACTGCGAAATTGTATAGCCAACGAATATCATTACCATGTTTTTTTCCTAAGTGAATATATACAGACTCAAAACAATTCACAGACATGGTTACCCGTTTACAGCCGAATAAACTTAAACCAGATGTCCATGATAAGGCAATGTCAATACCAATTTGATTTGTTACCAAATCTGAGTTGTTTGTTCTATTCCGACGTACATGCGTTTATTGAAAGATTAACAAAACTCATGCATGAATTGGGCATGTCTGCGATTATGTGGTTCTCCTGTGCTTATCTAATATACCTGTAGACTGGTGGTTACAAAAATAGTCAGTGACTGCAAAATTTTGACTTGACAATGTTACGTGAAATATATTCCTCCCAAAATGACTTGAGTGTACATCATAATCTGCTTATATTATGATTGATTGAATGGTTTTTATCTACTCTGTGCTGTGAATTTAAGAAAGCAATGTTATATGCATGCTACAATATGCTGCTTACTTTTCCATTACCTATAGCTTATGTGAGGCAAACCAGTCGGCCAACCTTGACTGTAGGTCTAGCGTACGAGTACATGTAGAAAATTCATATATAGTGCTTTCAAAAAATCTTGTGTTTGAACTTGTATACATTTCTACAAAGTTTAATCTTATTTTTTTACACTGCTCAAGAGCTGCTTCTTACATCACACGAAAACATCTAGCAATGTTACACATTTCATCGCGAATGTCATTTCTTCCGTATTCTTGATACTATTTCAATATTTTATTACCATAATTACTTTAAGAGGGTGTCTGCATGATCCTGAAAATTCAAGTAATCAGCAACATTAAGGTAAAGTAAGATATAAAGGCCAAGTCTATTTTGAACATTAACAGGAATTAAAAACTAAGGGGCGGAATAGGTCAACATGTTACCCGCCCCTTAACTCCCTGACTGCCTGCAGTATTAGAGTGCAATTGCGTGAAATGTCTTTATGACTTTTGACAGCTGACTTCACTGATTAGGCATACTGTGGCTTGTTTTCAACAGTTTAGAATTGAGACACCAGTCATTTACACTCTTTGCTTGACAACGGAAACAGATGTTTTCGAAAACTTGTAAAAGAAGTTTTCAATTCCTGTTTGTGTTCAAAATAAACTTAGCCATTATTATTCCGCCCAAACTGATGACTCTTATTCCGAAGAGTAAGATATACACACTACTTACTATAAGAGAAACAAAATTGTGAAAAGGTCTTGAGGATTTCCCAATTTTTGTCCACAAATGCTGCCCCTCTGTTTGAGCAATGAGCCACCAGTTGCTGAGACTTGGAATCAGTCAGCATGGCAAACCATGCTACTTTATCGTCTTCATAATCAGTCTAATATAAAACAATATATATACTGAAATCAAACATCAGGAATCACTTTGAGGGGAAAATCGTATCTTACAAATTTTATGAATTAGTATATTTAAAATAATAAAGATAGGTCATTAAACAACATGACAAATCATTCTACCTCAACATCCTCATCATCACGCCAATATAAAACAAATAGATAAAAAAAACAGTGTTTCTGGACTATGGTATCTTTTGCCATGTTTTATGGCGATTATAGGCCGCATCCCCTAGACAAATAGTGCTTATTTCCCAAAATGTAAAATTAATGAGAAATATTTTCCCAATATCAATAAATAGGCAAACAGGTATTCTGAAATCATGTAGGAACAAACTGCTTTAAAATTTAAGTAGAAAGAACACTTGGAAGATTGAGTATTTCATATACAGCTGTTTTTACAATGTCGTCGGATCAACAATTTTCCAGGATCTGCTGCCACACTATTCAGTTAACTACCTCAGTTGTATCTTTGTTCAGCAGAGACATATTTAGTTGTTCCTTAGTAAAGCCTTGCAGTTGCAGTGCTGGCATCAGCATCTTAAGCTCTAACTCAGCTTTAAGGCCTTCCTGTCGCATCAAGGCAGCTTCCTCTTGTTTTTTCACTATCTTCTCCAGTACTGTATAACATCTGAAACCAGCAGTTATTGTAAATTACATCTCAGACAGGCTACCAGCCCCTTATTGCAAATAACATCTCAGACAGGCTACCAGCCCCTTATTGTAAATAACAATCTCAGACAGGCTACCAGCCCCTTATCGTAAATAACATCTTAGACAGGCTACCAGCCCCTAAATAACATCTTAGACAGGCTACCAGCCCCTGTATAGATAATATCTTTGACAGTCTACCAGCCCATGTAGATAATATCTTAGACAGTCTACCAGCCCCTGTAAATAACATCTCAGACAGGCTACCAGCAGTTATTGTAAACCACATCTTAGACAGGCTACCAGCCCCTAAATAACATCTGACAGGCTACCAGCAGTTATTGTAAACCACATATTAGACAGGCTACCCAGCAGATATTGTAAATAACATCTTAGACAGGCTACCACCCTTATTGTAAATAACATCTTAGACAGGCTACCAACCCCTGTAAATACCATCTTAGACAGGCTACCAGCCCCTTATTGTAAATAACACCTTAGACAGGCTACCAACACCTGTAAATACCATCTTAGACAGGCTACCAGCAGTTATTGTAAACCACATATTAGACAGGCTACCCAGCAGATATTGTAAATAACATCTTAGACAGGCTACCAGCCCCTGTAAATAACATCTTAGACAGGCTACCAGCACCTGTAAATAACATCTTAGACAGGCTACCAGCCCCTGTAAATAACATCTTAGACAGGCTACCAGCACCTGTAAATAACATCTCAGACAGGCTACCAGCCCCTGTAAATAACATCTTAGACAGGCTACCAGCACCTGTAAATAACATCTCAGACAGGCTACCAGCAGTTATTGAAAACAACATCTTAGACAGGCTACCAGACCCTGTATATAACATCTTAGACAGGCTACCAGACCCTATAAATAACATCTTATGTAGGCTACCAGCCCCTTATTGTAAATAACATCTTAGACAGGATACCAACCCCTGTAAATACCATCTTAGACGGGCTACCAGCCCCTTATTGTAAATAACACCTTAGACAGGCTACCAACACCTGTAAATACCATCTTAGACAGGCTACCAGACCCTTATTGTAAATACCTTCTTAGACAGGCTACCAGCCCCTTATTGTAAATAACATCTCAGACAGGCTACCAGCCCCTTATTGTAAATAACAATCTCAGACAGGCTACCAGCCCCTTATCGTAAATAACATCTTAGACAGGCTACCAGCCCCTAAATAACATCTTAGACAGGCTACCAGCCCCTGTAGATAATATCTTTGACAGTCTACCAGCCCCTGTAGATAATATCTTAGACAGTCTACCAGCCCCTGTAAATAACATCTCAGACAGGCTACCAGCAGTTATTGTAAACCACATCTTAGACAGGTTACCAGCCCCTAAATAACATCTGACAGGCTACCAGCAGTTATTGTAAACCACATATTAGACAGGCTACCCAGCAGATATTGTAAATAACATCTTAGACAGGCTACCACCCTTATTGTAAATAACATCTTAGACAGGCTACCAACCCCTGTAAATACCATCTTAGACAGGCTACCAGCCCCTTATTGTAAATAACACCTTAGACAGGCTACCAACACCTGTAAATACCATCTTAGACAGGCTACCAGCAGTTATTGTAAACCACATATTAGACAGGCTACCCAGCAGATATTGTAAATAACATCTTAGACAGGCTACCAGCCCCTGTAAATAACATCTTAGACAGGCTACCAGCACCTGTAAATAACATCTTAGACAGGCTACCAGCCCCTGTAAATAACATCTTAGACAGGCTACCAGCACCTGTAAATAACATCTCAGACAGGCTACCAGCCCCTGTAAATAACATCTTAGACAGGCTACCAGCACCTGTAAATAACATCTTAGACAGGCTACCAGCCCCTGTAAATAACATCTTAGACAGGCTACCAGCACCTGTAAATAACATCTCAGACAGGCTACCAGCCCCTGTAAATAACATCTTAGACAGGCTACCAGCACCTGTAAATAACATCTCAGACAGGCTACCAGCAGTTATTGAAAACAACATCTTAGACAGGCTACCAGACCCTGTATATAACATCTTAGACAGGCTACCAGACCCTATAAATAACATCTTATGTAGGCTACCAGCCCCTTATTGTAAATAACATCTTAGACAGGATACCAACCCCTGTAAATACCATCTTAGACGGGCTACCAGCCCCTTATTGTAAATAACACCTTAGACAGGCTACCAACACCTGTAAATACCATCTTAGACAGGCTACCAGACCCTTATTGTAAATACCTTCTTAGACAGGCTACCAGCCCCTTATTGTAAATAACATCTCAGACAGGCTACCAGCCCCTTATTGTAAATAACAATCTCAGACAGGCTACCAGCCCCTTATCGTAAATAACATCTTAGACAGGCTACCAGCCCCTAAATAACATCTTAGACAGGCTACCAGCCCCTGTAGATAATATCTTTGACAGTCTACCAGCCCCTGTAGATAATATCTTAGACAGTCTACCAGCCCCTGTAAATAACATCTCAGACAGGCTACCAGCAGTTATTGTAAACCACATCTTAGACAGGTTACCAGCCCCTAAATAACATCTGACAGGCTACCAGCAGTTATTGTAAACCACATATTAGACAGGCTACCCAGCAGATATTGTAAATAACATCTTAGACAGGCTACCACCCTTATTGTAAATAACATCTTAGACAGGCTACCAACCCCTGTAAATACCATCTTAGACAGGCTACCAGCCCCTTATTGTAAATAACACCTTAGACAGGCTACCAACACCTGTAAATACCATCTTAGACAGGCTACCAGCAGTTATTGTAAACCACATATTAGACAGGCTACCCAGCAGATATTGTAAATAACATCTTAGACAGGCTACCAGCCCCTGTAAATAACATCTTAGACAGGCTACCAGCACCTGTAAATAACATCTTAGACAGGCTACCAGCCCCTGTAAATAACATCTTAGACAGGCTACCAGCACCTGTAAATAACATCTCAGACAGGCTACCAGCCCCTGTAAATAACATCTTAGACAGGCTACCAGCACCTGTAAATAACATCTTAGACAGGCTACCAGCCCCTGTAAATAACATCTTAGACAGGCTACCAGCACCTGTAAATAACATCTCAGACAGGCTACCAGCCCCTGTAAATAACATCTTAGACAGGCTACCAGCACCTGTAAATAACATCTCAGACAGGCTACCAGCAGTTATTGAAAACAACATCTTAGACAGCCTACCAGACCCTGTATATAACATCTTAGACAGGCTACCAGACCCTATAAATAACATCTTATGTAGGCTACCAGCCCCTTATTGTAAATAACATCTTAGACAGGATACCAACCCCTGTAAATACCATCTTAGACGGGCTACCAGCCCCTTATTGTAAATAACACCTTAGACAGGCTACCAACACCTGTAAATACCATCTTAGACAGGCTACCAGACCCTTATTGTAAATACCTTCTTAGACAGGCTACCAGCCCCTTATTGTAAATAACATCTCAGACAGGCTACCAGCCCCTTATTGTAAATAACAATCTCAGACAGGCTACCAGCCCTTAAATAACACTGTAAATAACATCTTAGACAGGCTACCAGCCCCTTATTGTAAATAACATCTTAGACAGGCTACCAGCCCCTAAATAACATATTAGACAGGCTACCAGCCCCTAAATAACATTGTAAATAACATCTTAGACAGGCTACCAGACCCTTATTGTATATAACATCTTAGACAGGCTACCAGCCCCTAAATAACATTGTAAATAACATCTTAGACAGGCTACCAGCCCCTTATTGTAAATAACATCTTAGACAGGCTACCAGCCCCTAAATAACATCTTAGACAGGCTACCAGCCCCTAAGTTCTTATGAAGAATTTCTCAACTATTTTACTACATGTACTAGCTTATCTCCCCCTAGTTTAGAACTTGGAAATCAGACATCCAAGTGATCAAAATTATTAGGGTTTTTTTCTTCTAAATAATTCAATATTCTAGAGACATATCTTAATCTCATTAAATATCCAACAAGGACTAAATAGGCTGTATCCCACTCATTGTATTAGTGTCATCTATCAAACTGTTAAGAAAATATACCGGTATATTTGAACCCTGTTACCTTGAATGAATGTCAAAATGTAGTTTTAAATGTCATTTTTTGTTCTATTTCACTTTTCAAAACCTTAATGATAAAACCAGCTTATCAGAAAAGAGGATTTCACTATTGACAATTGTGAGTTGATGAACATATTTGTTATCATGATCCAGAGTTGAAATGTTGGAACACAAAAAAGATATCTGACTGAAAAATAGGCAATACTTATGAAAGTGTACAAAAATATGGCAATAAGAAGACGACCTAATTATAAGTTAGTATCAAATATTACCACAGGATCTATTTTTTTCAGGACAACATATTCAATCTACTGTATAGTCCGAATTATTCTGACGTTTTATCGACTTTTTTCATATCTGTCTGTCGTCATTAATCGACGACAGACCGATATGAAAAAAGTTGATAAAACGTCAGAATAATTCGGACTATCTACTGTAGTGCAGTACTCAGTTACCTGTTACAGACAAAACTGTCATCACAGTCAGTAAACTGGCAGTTTGGCACCTTCTTGTGTAGAACATCAGCCACCCTCGTCTGACCACTCACACAACTGGTTACCGGCCATCTGTTCTGTCCTTCCAGCAAGTTAGAGCACTGACAAAGGACACAGGCGCCCAATGAGGTGGAATCCTCGTCGCTCTGACCAGCAGTGGGAGACTCCTCCCATTCCATGATCTGAAGAAGCATACATAACCCTCCGTTAGAAATACAAGAAGCATTCATAATACAGATGTATTTCACTCATTATTGCACACCCATGTATATTCCGTCTTTGCGTATTGCAGAGTTATCTTCTCTTGTTTGCAGGTAGTGATTGTTACGTCATTGGTTTGTGTGAGAAAATTACATTGTTTTCTCAAAAATTTATGATGTTACTCTCACAAAGAAATGACATAACAATCAATACCTGCTCACAAGAGAAGATAACTCTGCAATACGAAAAGACTGAATATAACCATCAGAACAGACCACCATGCATGCAACTCCGGAGACAGGTTACAGTAAGTTGCCACATCGCCAGTCATTCCTTTCATCTTTCTGTTGGTTCAAAAATGTGTCTAATAACACAATTATACAAAATTATTAAACTGTACATACATGTATATATATATACATAATTACTTTTAATTTTCTAAAAAAGAAAAGTTCTGATAACACTATTTTCCACATCAGCTGAACTGATCCACATGGAGCAATTTTGTTTCACTTAAATTACTTAAATTAATAAATTATTACATCTTAAAGGAGCATATATACATGTGAAACAAAACCCACTTACATTTCAAACTTTAAATGTTTTGAATACACAAATTTCCAAATTAATTAATCTTAATCAATAGCACTGCTGTCGCTATTTCACATCAAAATTCCTGATTTTTGGTTGGGTAATTTTTTGTGTGTTTTTTTTTCAGAATCAAAGTAACTTTCAGAAATTGTCCTGTAGTTCCGCTTTTATTTGTTAGTTACACAACTTCAGCAGTCAAAATGACCCCTGGTACCTAGTAGGACGTATCAGTTAATAATTAATTAATTAAAACAAGTAGCCACAGAACTTCATTTTCTGATTGTGACTTAAGAATGCAATTTCACTAAAACAGCCTTATTAATGTTGATTTCATCTTGGAATTGAGATAACTTCCCAATGTGTTTAACTATGAGCCATTGCTTTCAGGTTGTTAGCAATGTTCTAGATTCAAAGCCGTTGATTTTTTCTTGTTTGATATATATACTTTACTGAAGCATGATAAATTTTGAAATCAATTATTATTTTGAAAACTCCATTTCTAGTATAGAATCTATGACACAATATCGAAATGAAAGTTGATCCGTATAGAAGTCCAGATAGTATTGGGTATTTCAATGACAACCCTGATCCATAAAAAAGGTAATTTTTAGCAATCATTTTTTTTTAATCTTTTGATAAAATTAAGTTTCAGAACACGGAAAACAATATTCCTTTAAGATAATATGAGTACTTTTTTAACAAGAATTATAAAAAAGTTTAAATGTGTTCCTAGGACACTGAGGAGATTGAAAGAAAGTCTTGGAAGGGAGGCAACTCCTATAAATTTCAGTACTACCACGTCAGGGCGCGGTGGTAGGACCCGATTGTAACAGATTAATTTGGAATGTATGGAATGCACAAACTTGCTGATGCTTAATTTACATCAACATTACCATGCACATTGGAGAATTCGCTTTTTTTCGAACTGTCATGTTTTGTAAGTGTCACAACAGATTTAGGAGACCCGTTTTTACTTTGAAGGGAAGTAACGTTACTGCTTGACCTCTCAATATATTTCAGATCTCAGCCTAGGCCTATTACGGCGACGTGAAATGGAGGTCCATGTGATCATTTCATAAAGAGAAGCAATGCATGTATTCATACAATATCACATTTGCAAGCAATCGACATGAAATACGACTACAGACATACATACTCTAGTTTCAGAATTATCGATGATCGATTCAACAATGTCGGCCATTTTGTACAAACCGAGTCTGACCCACAAAAGGCAGTCGGTGCTGTATGATGCCAACTCCCACACAAAATATCTAAAGCGTTATGCCTTCATAAGAGTAATAGAAAAACAGCACATGTAAACTTTCGACAGACTTTTTCATGATGTAACGCAATGACAATAGTGTGAAATATACCGAACTAATGCCTGTTTCCCAGCCTTTGGACGTTCCGGTCTGAACGCGCAATTTCGCTTCCTGTTTCTGGTACACATGGAATTTCTTGACACGATATATTAGTCCGGTGTGTATCGCTTAAGCGCACCAAAATTCGTTAGATGCCTGTTACGCGTTTCAATGCTTTGTTCTAGCGACTTGCTACAGTTGTATCAGGTCTTGACTCTATAATATATGTAATATCATCTATCAATACAACATGTTATTGTATTAAATACATTCAGTATGTTTTTACATTTTTTTTTGTCAACAGAGATTACTGTCACCGGTACTACCATCCATGCAGTTCACTCAACTTATTCTTTTACGCACCAGTCCTCACTTTTCTTTTCAGACATAACCTACTACCTTCTAACATGCGCAGACGTGCACACTTCATATAATACTCGCAAGAGGTTGTAACACCTACTGTTGCAGTATGGATAGATACTCACTCGTCGGCCGTTTTCGTTTAAACGGTTGAACCGGTCGGACCACAGTTGTTCGTTTATTAAATAAAGTCGGACCTAGTATATGATGCTGTTTTAGGGGAGCCTTATCAAAGCCTTGCAAGGAGTGGCGTCAGACAGCTGCGCTGTCTCTCACTGGGACCGGGCCTGAGCAGGACCGGGGCTGGTGAGGACCGTCAAGATAGGATAACTCGTCCGGACTTGGAGCATGATATAACAGTTGGATATCTTATAACTACATTTTATAGTGTATACGGTCCTCATCTGGGACATTCTTATCAGGAAATAGCGTAGATATTTTTCATTTATAAACTAAAGGAAGATAATGTTCAGTGTATATGGTCATTTAAATGGTTGTATTAATTGAGGAAATAGAACCAGTCCAAGAGAGTAATAAAGATGGTTTAGAGATACAAAGTAAACTATATTTATAGTATTTTATCTTTGTATTCCACGATATAGTGTATACGTCCTGTGCACGGACATCATAATCAGACAGGATATGTTATAGTGAATATATCCGTAGTTATTTATAAAATATATAAAGGCAGCAAAGTTTGCAGTCAAGAGAGGTGATTTTGAAATAGAAAAAAATAACATCAAATCAATCTTCAATCTCTTTAATTATATGTTGATATTGAAACGTATCCGGTAACAGGTAACAGGGACACCCATATCAATATATCAAGCACTCATTATATCTGTATTAATGGATCAAATACATAAAGGTGACAGTTATTAGAGTCAAGAGATGAGTAAATATGATTGAGAAATAGAAATTAAACTATGTCTATAATATGTTATCTTCGAGTTGCATACTAGTATAAGATCCTAAGCAGGAATTTAAAAGGAAATAAAAAAGCTAGCAATGCGAACGGTCAAAAGACGTATAGTCTATAACTATATAGCTAGTAGCGTATACGGTCCCGACCGGGGCCATCCTGATCAGGAAACCACGTGCTCATTATATTCGTATTAATTCATCAAATACAACAGTTGGCAATGCGCATAGATAAGAGATGGCTAAATTTGATTTAGAATCAGAAATAAAACTATGTCTAAAGTATTTATATTATCTTCCATATTTAGATATTAGAACGTCTACGGTCCTGAGCGGGGGCATCCTGATCAGCAACTAAAATGGAAATTATTTACGTAGGTATTGATCAAGTACAAAAAGCTAGCAATGCGAACGGTCAAGAGAAGCATCATAATGATTTTTAAATGAAAAATACATTACATCATTGATGGAATACTCTATATATTCATCTTAAAACATACACAGTCCTGGGCGGGGGCCATCATGATCAGGAAATAAAATCATAATTGTTTGCATACATAAATACATTTATAAGCAAAATATAGATCGCAGTGAATATTGTCATTAGAGGAGTCGTTTTGATTTAGAAATAGAACCCCGACTTACAAGAATGGTTATTTATAAGCAGTATAATCTATAACTATAGCTAGTAGCGTATACGGTTCTGACGGGGGCCATCCTGATCAGGATGTCCACGCTCGGTACCGTATATGTTACAAGATGTATATATTTAGTAATTCGTCGTTTTTTTTGCCTATTTATGCATTAAAAAGTTATTATGACTTCTCTTTTGACCGTATGCATTGCTATCTTTACTAATGTGAAGACTTACAACGGATATATTTAACAGTTGATTTCCTGATCGGGACGCTCGGGACCATGTTGTTTTTAAGATGTATATTTTTAGTATTTCGTCGTTTATTTTACCTTTGTTCCATTTAAAAGTCATTATGACACATCTTTTAACCGTGTTGATCTCTAACTTAACCTATATTACGAAAAATAAACGGATATATCTAACATTTGATTTCCTGATCAGGATGTTCACGCTCGGGACCGTGAATGTTATAAGATGGATGTATTTACTATTTCGTCGGTTTTTTTTTGCCTATTTTTGCATTAAAAATTCATTATGACGTCTCTTTTGACCTAATGCATTGCTATCTTTACTAATGTGAAGACTTACAAGGATTTATATTACATTTGATTTCCTGATCAGAAAGTCCCCGCACAGGACCGTGTATGTTATTAGATGTATATATTTAGTATTTCGTCGTTCATTTTACCTATTTTTCATTACAAAATCTTCATGACACACCTTTTGACCGTATTCGTTGCTAACTTTACTAAGGAGAAGATTCACAACGAATATATTTAATATTTGATTTCCTGATCAGGATGTCCCCGCTTAGGACAGTGTATGTTATCAGATGTATACATTCAGTATTTTGTGTTTCGAGTTACTTATTTCTCTTTTGAAAATTATTATGACACATCTTTTAACCGTGTTCATCAATAACTTAACTTGTTAACGAAAAAGACCGGATATATTTAAGATTTGACTTCTTCATCAGGATTTCCCCGCTCAGGACCGTGTTTATTGTAAGATGTATATATTTAGTATTTCGTCGTTTAATTTACCTATTTTCCATTTAAAAGTCATTATGACACATCTTTTAACCGTGTTTATACCTAACTTAACTTATATTACGAAAAATAATCGGATATATTTAACATTTGATTTTTTCTTGATCGGGATGTCCACGCTCGGGACCGTGTATGTTATAAGATGCATATATTTAGTATTTCGTCGTTTTTTATGCCTATTCTTTTGCATTTAAAAGTCATTATGACTTCTCTTTTGACCGTATGCATTGCTATCTTTACTAATGTGAAGACTTACAACGGATATATTTAACATTTGATTTCCTGATCAGGATGTCCACGCTCGGGACCGTATATATCACAAGATGTATATTTTTAGTAATTCGTCGGGATTTTTGCCTATTTTTGCATTTAAATGTCACTATGACTTCTCTTTTGACCGTATTGCATTGCTATCTTTACTAATGTGAAGACTAACAACGGGTATATTTACCAGTTGATTTCCTGATCAGGATGTCCACGCTCGGGACCGTGTTTATTGTAAGATGTATATTTTTAGTATTTCGTCGTTTATTTTACCTATTTTCCATTTAAAAATCATAATGACACATATTTTAACCGTGTTGATACCTAGCTTAACATATATTCCGAAAAATAAACGGATATATTTAACATTTGATTTCCTGATCAGGATGTACACGCTCGGGACCGTGTATGTTATAAGATGATATATATTTAATAATTCGTCGATTTTTTGCCTATTTTTGGATTATAAAGTCATTATGACCTCTCTTTTGACCGTATGCATTGCTATCTTTACTAATGTGAGGACTTACAACGGATATATTTAGCATTCGATTTCCTGATCAGGATGTCCCCGCTTAGGACCGTGCATGTTATAAGATGTATATATATAGTAATTCCTCGTTCATTTTATCTTTTTTTATTTAAAAATCATTATGACACATCGCTTGACCGATTCATTGCTGCTGACTTTACTTATGAGAAGATTCACAACGGATATATTTAACATTTGATTTCCTGATAAGGATGTCCCCGCTCAGGACCGTGTATGTTATTAGATCTATATATATTTAGTATTTCTTTGTTCATTTTACATAGATCTACATGATCAAAGGGAGGTAACTGCTATATTCCAACTCCGCATTATGAGTTCTGCTACGTACACTTTTTGTATTCACCATTCCTCCTAGATCGATTACACATCTGGTCGGGTTGAAATCGGCATTGCATTTGTTACTATTTTAAGACTCTCTTCTGCCGAGATTTTGATTGGTTGAGTGCTGTGGTGTCTAGTAATTAAAACAAAAGACGGAAAGTCATAGTAAAAGTTCTCTAAGTTAACTTGTATGTTACAAGATTTCAGGACCTTGTGGAATTCGAGATTTAGTCACCTATTTTTAAACTTTTTTAGCTGATCTCTTTTTTCTTTTTTCAACAGTTTTTCCTCCTTCTTTCATAAGGCTTCGCGCTTTTCTTCTAAAATCTGATTCGTTGTTAGCAAACGATGACACGTTTTGTAGCGTTTACATTCCACGGGTTTCGCCTCCCTTTCTGGTTTTGGAGACACAAAAATTCTTTGAATCGCGTTGTTCCACACGTTTTCAACGTCACACTGACTCTGTGCACTATCTGGCATTGGTGGGAAGTTTGCAACTCCTTCACCATCAGCACTGACAATATCTATACGTCCGGCTGTTATTAGATCTAGCAGTGCAAATGGATCATCAGAAAATGGCACGGCACAGCCGTCATGAACAGGTATACTGACACTGACTGTAGGTGGCGTTGTAACCGTGGCGGAGGCGCAGGACGACGAGGAGGAAAGATTTGGAGGTAATGATGCGACGGCGCGAGCAGGTACCCTACTGACAACTGAAGGTGGCGTTGTAACCGTGGCGGAGGCGAAGGATGAGGAGGATGAGATAGTTGGAGGGAAAGATGCGTCGGCAAGAGCAGGTACCCTACTGACAACTGTAGGTGGCGCTGTAACCGTGGCGGATGATGAGGAATCGTCGTCGCGAGCAGGTGAACTAGTCGACGGGCGTGTTGTAGTCGGGAGGTTAGTGTTGTCCATGGACGTCGTTTTCAGAATAGCATCTGATGCTTCAGATGGTTGCATTGAAGCATGGGAAACGGCAGAAGAGTTGAAGGGAACAATGCCGCAAGCCCGGAAACCATTCACAATGTTTTGAACACTAAGTCCTGCATTCCAAGCCTTCGTAAACAGGCTTGGGAAGCTCCACTTGTTGACCAAGTTCAACGAGTTTTCAGAGAGAAAATCGGAGCATGCGTGATTATATGCACTGTTAAACGGCCCGAAAACCTCTAGAGGTTGTAATGCGTGTGTCGTATGGGGTGGTAAGCAGAATATTGCTATGTTTTCAGCTATGGCCAGTTCTATAATCCCCAGCGTCTCATGGGATGAATGGCCATCCATTATGAGAAGCTGTGGACGCTCTGGTCCACACTGGCCCAAAAATACGTCCCGAAACCACCGCTCTCCCAATTCATGGGACATCCAACCGCTTTCTTGGTAGCCCCGTATTGTCCCTTCGGGGGCATCTTCGACTTTGAAGCCATGAAGAGATGCGGATGTTTTGCCCTTAACAATCATAATTGGCGACATCTTGGCTCCAACACCATTCACACATGCCATGATTGTAGTATTGGTTCTGTTTTCTGAGACTCTACTTACAACATTCCGTGTTCCTTTCTCTGACAAGATTTTCACTGGTGTGTGTTGAAACTGTTTCCCGGTCTCATCGGCATTCCAGATAAGGTGTCCTTTGTTGGCAAGGTTCATGTTTGTTATAAGTTCCCCAAGATCTTGGAAATACTTCTCCACGACACCAGGATTCAACATCCTGGCTCTGGAGTTCCCAAGCTTCTCTGGCTTCCCGATTACAAGTTCCGGGTGTCTCTTCTTCAACCCACGGAACCAGCCCTTCCCTGGCACGCCGTTCCGAAAAGCATCGGCCACCTGCAGCCGTTTGCACAAGGCCCCTGTCCTGGCAAAGAGCTGTCGGCACGATATGCCCATACAACATTTCGATGCAGTTATTACCGTTTTAACTATTTTTTCCTCCACGTTTTGTGGCAATACTGGGGCCTTTCCTGGACTTGTGACAAGGTCACTCCTGCCACTGACCTTGTCGCCTAGTGTTGATTTAGGAACGGCAAAATGTGCGGCCGCTTTTCTCACAGACATGCTAACATTCTTCACTGCGATGGTCGCCTGTTCCATGCTTTTGGGGTCATAAACCATTGTTTTCCCTCTTTTCTTGTGTGTGTACGTTTTCGGCATTCTGTAAATAAAAAAATTAATACTTTAATAAAAAAAAGTGTGTTTAAGACGTACATGTATTAAATCAATCATCTATATATGTATTGCTGAATAATCATTATTTTAATTAAATACGTTGATTGTGCATTTTATCTATATCAGAATTAATGTATCACGTACACGTTTCTGAAGGAAATAAAAAAATACAGCATGAAATAGGTTCATTTGACATATCATGGGATAAGAAACAGAATTATTAATAACGTAAAAAATACTTATTTCAACCAAGGAATTAGATGATCTAAGTCCGTGTTTTAACTATATTACTGTACATTTTCAAATATCAGGTAATATTTTAAAAACTATGAAAGCAGAAAAAATAAGTACATTTAATGTATAGATATAAGAAAATAGACACTAAATTTACATACAAACTTAAAAGTCATTTAGTTTAAATTAATATTAGTCCTAATTATTCTTTTATCGGCCTTTATTTATTTATTCGTTACCGGTCGTACAGTTCATTTAAGCATTTTCGTTTCATGAATTTTCAATGTTTAAATGACTCATCTTAACAAAATATATTACTGTCCGAGTACAAGTCCCTTTGTAAAACATGGACAGGGACCCCAGAAAACTAAGGGGTTCAGCATATTTTTCACGTTTTATGGGTTTATATCAACTTCCGGTAAAAACGTCATAGCCAGGGGTTATATTTTTTCACAGTCTCAGAAAAAATATATAAAATATATACTAAAAGTGCTTTAGACTTTCTTTTTCTATTCAATGTAATTTAGATTGGTGCATATTACTCTACATGCAGTGATAATTATTTTCAAAATTTTCGTTTTTCTTTTTAACTTTCTGACCATATCTGAAGCATAAATAATATTAGACCGCAGTAGTTTGAGTTCGTAACTTCATTTCCCTGGAGAAGACCCACATCCCGGTTTCTCTCTTGATCCTCTTGCGGAAAAGGACCCAGCCTCCTCTCACAACCCTCCATATCGTCGCTACTCTCTTCAGCAACAGTTGCAGCTGGCCATGGGATAATACTATTTCAGAAAGTCTCTCCAAGCTATCCGGATATCTTGAATCTGCCCCAGCTAATTAAAATGTTACATGCATTTGTATTACGAATGGTAACAAAAATGGATCACCAAGCCATAATTTCATTCATTCATTCATTAAAATTCAGAGGATCAGTTATATTCGGAGTAAACCATTTAGCCCCAGGGGTTCTCGTGAGTACACCAACGGATCAAGGATTCAATTTCGCTATATATCTTACTGTTCAAATGATCAAATATTTGCTGGCATATCGATTTGTTATAACTATCTCTGGAAGTTTTGTATGAATCCAAGTGTATCGACCGCACTCTGGCTGTTTCGTCCTACTGTCCGAATGGAAAGCAAGACCATTGCAGGCGCCATTTTTTGACAAATAAGTAATTTCTGAGTTAAAATTATTCTGATACCATACGATCGCGTAAATTGATATTAAGGGAAGACAGAAAATGCTATGCTTGACTATTCATTCTAAGACTGTATCGTTATAAATTATAAACAGTTGACATATTTGTTTGGTTTTTAACACATTTAAGGACGTGCCTCAATGTGTGTAATGTATACGTGCTTATGTGTATGTGTGCCGGAGGCAAGGTATGTTTCAAGATGTTTTGACTCCTTGCGATAGCGCGGATACCTCACTGAAATACCAAGTCGAGGGCACCAATCACAGTATTCCACCCGGTCTCATTATGCCATAACCCTTAATGCTGAACGTTAAGCCGGAAATAACAACTATCATTTTTATGGACTTTGGTACGTCCCGGCCTGGGGACACAACCCATTGCCTATGTAACGTTGAAAATGGACCCCCGTTGAAAATGGAACTGGGGTCGGTTTTCAACGTTGAAAATTGAACCAGGAAGCCGTTGAAAAGGGAACCTAACGCAAATTAATTTGTACATACACGTTGAAAAGTGAATCATATGAAAAATTAATATAATGATTTAAAATATCCACTTAGATTATACTTAATAAAGTCCTGCGTCTTATTTCCAGAAATTAACCCAGTATGGACAGGTCAATGTGACCTACATTTGAAGTGACTTACATTAGCAAAAATGGTCGTAGGGGTCAGAAATTAACATTTAACAGATGTTAGACAAATTAGGTCACTGTGACCTAATTTTCAAAATTTGACTTGCATAATCCAAAAGGGTCATAGGGGTCAGATAATAATATTTAACATCTTTTTGACAAAATAAGGTCACTGTCAACCAATTTTCTAAATATGACCTACATTATCAAGCAGTTGTTTGACAAAATTAAGTAACCGTGACCTAATTTAGAAAGTTTGACCTTCATTATCCAAAATAATCATCGGAAAAAGAGTTTGTAAAGAACCCGTTATTTGACCAAATTATTTGAGCTATATTAAAAGACATTGTCACAGGGTTCAGAACTTTACATATATTTTACCAGGCCAGGTACATAAGAACTTTTTTTTCTAGTTTTACCTCAACTTTATAAATTGTTACGGGATTCAGAAATTATGCTAAAACGTACTTTTCAAAATCAGACGTACACTATTAAAAATGTCATTAGGTTCAAAAATTAGCAAAAAAAATAAAAAATGATGTTAACCAAATTACGTCCCTGTGACATACTTTTCAAAATTCAAACTACATAATACAACATGTATGTAATTTTTCAAATTGTCAACGGGTTACAAAACAAACATGCAACTAATTAGACATAAGAATGTCATTGTGACCAACTTTTCATACTTTGTTTTCAGTTTAATACTGGTTTAAATGACCATAAAAAGTCCATATTGAGTATGAAAGATAACCCCAAAATATTTCGACAATTTTCTATATTGAATGTGTTAATATGGCTCCGGGTTCTAATTCCACGTTGAAAATTGACCCCAGAAAATCATGAAACCTTTTAACATTCAATTGTCAAAAAGCGACCCTGGTCCATTTTCAGCGTTGAAAATAGACCCCTGAAAATTGTTACAGTTTTCCATATTCAATAGTAAAAAAGTGACACATGTACTTATTCAACGTTGAAAATGGACACCAGAAAAATATGCGCAAGTCCAATGTTAAAATGTAGCCCCGGATCCATATCAAAAGTTGAAAATGGATCCCAGATACATTATGCTGTTTTTATATGTTCAATTGTCGAGAATGGTCGTGAGTCGATATTCAACGCTGAACATGGACCCCAGAATATTATGACACCTTTTTGTATTTAATTGTTAAAGCAAATGACCTGGGTCCATATTCAACGTTGACAATGGACCCCTGAAACATTTAGTCGTTTTATATGATCAATTGACGAAAATGGTCGTAGGTCGATATTTAACGTTGAAAATGGACCTTAGAATTTTTGTCATTTGTTTATATTGAAATGTCAAACAAGGGACCAAAGTGGGATCTTTGCTCCCACCATCGTTAGATCTTCCTTAATTCTATCTAAGCTGGATCTTTTTAATCTCTTATCTGGTAGATTGATAATGTTGTCAACATATTGATCAGTCCCAAAATGAAACATACATTTAATGGATAACATATGGTTCCAGGGTTATATTCAACTCTAGAAGTAGACACAAGAACAGTATTACACCAGGGGCGTAACTATAACCCTTATTCGATGTGGATTATTTTAGGAGCGAATCCAGTGCAGGGACTTAGTAGGTGGACAACGGGGTGCAAAAGCATTGTTTTGGGGTTTGTTCTGTTTGAAATTTGGTGTGTTCGTCTGCGTACCAGCGTATAGGTAGCTACGGGCATGGACACCATTCCATATTCCATTGTTACTATTCAACGTCGAAATCAGATCCCAGAAACATAATGTCGCCTTTGTATATTCAATCGTCAAAACTGGTCTCGGATCAGTATTCAATGCTGAAAATGGACCCCAGAATATTTTGTCATCTTTATATATTCAACAGTAGAAAATGGTCCCGGGTCCATATTCAACGTTGCGAATTGACCCCCAGAACATTATAATACCTTCAATTATCAATTATGAAATGTGGCCCTGGGTCAATATTCAACGTTGAAATTTGATTATTGAGCCGGGAATTCTTTGAACAATAGATGAATACAAACAAAAGACGAAGTGTAATTAACTTCCCTAACGGTCAATTCAAAAAAAGGTAATATGAGAACTATATGTACGTAACTTTTCAGAGATTACACTTCTGTGTCAAGCTAAAGTAACTGGACTAAATCTGTTTTCATTTTTAGCACGAAAACTAGCATTAATGTCAAATAAGTTGTGTCACAATGATATCATCTCATTTACATTCAACAATGCAAATAAAACTTAATACAAGCAGGCTGAGAAAAAAATATTACACAATGTTTACTTGCAATTAATTAAATACCGGTATATCACCAATACTGTCTACAACATCCTAGAATTCTTAATATTTTCCATCATTAAAAACAAAATATTCCCTTTTATTAATTCAGCCCGTATTATGTTATGGGGAGCGTCCGTCATTCGTACTTTAGTTTCCGCAAGATATTTTGCTTAAATATCATTCGATTATGATGAGTCACACTTGGTACGCATGTACATTATCCAATGACTGAGGCTACGTACGAACTAATTAGAATATTGTGATCTAATGGTCAATTTCAAAACTTAGGTTTCGCAAGATAATTTGCTAAAATATCGTTAGATTTTGATGAAACCTGGTATGTATGTATACATTATACACAGGCTGAGGCTAAGTTCGAATTTGAGCAAAATCCGCGCATACTTTATTTCATGTATCAAACTGTGCTCTGATTGGTTGACGGTTGATGCACAGTAACAAATATGACCAGATTCAATATTTGTATTATACAATGATAAATAATAAGCTTAAGGAGAGCAAAACCTGCACATAAATTATTACATGTAACATACTGCTTTCTGGTTGGTCGACGGTC